CATAATTCATGGCTAAGGGGCTGCAGCTTTATAATAGATTGGTTTCCAGAAGTGGCTGGGAAAACCTAGCACGAAGCCCCAGTAGTTTGGCCCGTAAGTTTAAAATATGCAAAACAGCTCAAGTCAAGCTCCTTATAAATGGCGGTGGACCTGTCACTACAAGCCCACCCCAACAATTAATAGGCTTGGCTCTGATGCCAGAACCCAAACTATGATTTATTGTTCTCTTCAAATTAATAAAAGCAAGGCCATCCATTGTGGATTTCAGTATTTATCCATGTGGGAAAGCGCTGATGTTTCAAAATGGCCATGTGAGCAGGTTACACTTCTGAAACCACATTCTTTTAACCTTAATTCACCAACATGGGGGAAGCCTCTGCTTTCACCCAGGTTATCTAGTGAATAGACAAAACCTGCACAAGGGATATTTCTGTACATTATTAACTCAAGTCCACTTAAAACTTCTCAAGATAGATCATCTACAGAAAGACAAGCAGGGACAGGGATCTCCAATTCTCTCATTTTACAGATGAGAAAACGGAGGCCAGAGGCCAAAGCATCTGGCCTAAACTTCCCCTGCAAAGACAGCAACCCTGCTGCAGAAAAACTAAAGTTCCCTAATTACTGGCCAGCAATCTGAGATCAGAGGCAATTCTAGCCATAGATGAGTTCAGTTTGCTTGTTTAACCTTTAATTAAAAGCTTAAACATTGTAAGGTTTGGCAAGCCATCCCAGATTCCTGGCTTCTCTCGAAAATCCTGGCTATGTGGCAATTGTGGGTCCAAATTCCTGCCTGGCCTCACTCTGCAGAGCTGGGGAGTAGCTGCCCATGGCAAATGGGCATGTGGTGTTGAGAGGGCCACAGCCCCACAAAAAAAAACCCTTTCTTTGTTGCCAGTGGTCCTGAAGCCCTTGGAATTTGCTGTCTTTCCTCTGCATTATACTCAGCTGAGGCTAAATAATATATATGATATATATATATATATATATTTGTCTCATACGCATGTAATACATATGATACACACATGTATGTATGTATTGCAGAAAAGTGGCTCTTTAAAATATGAAGACACATATAGGAATATTTTAATGATGTCTTGATGAGCATAATTTGCCTGCCTTAAGGTGAGCAGATGTAAGCCATGGGCCCAAGACCCTCTTCTGGCAAAGTGAGCAGAACGTGGGCACTCAGCAGAGGCGAGCTGGCTGGGAATGGGGCTGCCCGTTCCCACTGCCTGAGAGAGCAGAGACTCACGAAGAATGGTGGTTAGAGGCTCCCACTTAGCACTCAGCCCTGGTCCTGGTTTACACTTCTCATGCACTGTTTTTCTGCATTTACGCAGCATCCAGCGTGGTCATTTTTAAATGTGAATAAGATCATGCCATTCTTCTGCTTAAAACCCAACTCCAATTCCCTTTCCCTCAGCTCCCCAGATGCCTGTCCTGTTCTTATTCATTTCACATAACTTTCTCCTTCACTCACAAGAACCAGACACACCCTAGGCTTTCTTCTGAGCCTGGAACATCTAAAGGCTTTTCCCTTGTAAATCCTTACTGTCCTTCCTCCAGGTACTTCAATAACTGGTCCTACTTGTCATTCTGTGGCCACTCCTCCTACAGTGGCCCTCCTAGCCACTAGCACATCACCCTGAGATATTTTCTTCATTCGTCGCTGTTTGAATTTACCTTGTTTATTTGTAAACATGGCTACAGAATGCCCCCTAAGCTAGACTATAAGTTCAACAAAAACTTTGCTGTCTTTCACTTATTCTCAAGGTCTAGAAAGTGCCCTGCACATATGCACCAGCTGCAGAATAAACATGTCATGCACTGTGTTTGAGGGGTATCGCACATTACTGGAGCTGGAAGAAAAATCTCTCCATTAACAAGATCCTGGCTCCAGATGAGAACTCGGGGGGGAGGAAAGGCTATGCCTCTCTGGGCTCAGAGTCTTTAAGGGACTTCAGCTGACAGCACAGAGAGAATTAACTAAATGGTGAAATCTTTATACCGTGCCCACTTACGCTTTAAAATGCTCTGTTGAGCGGTATTGCTATGATTTCCAAGCGGCTTGCTCAGTTTCTGTTCGATTTCAAAATCAAGGTTGAGGCAACGAATGAGCATTCAAAAGGTGCTTCAGTAACTTCAAATGAGGCGTGCATGTGTGTCTCTGTGGTCCTGACTTCATCATTAGTAAACGATTGGTATTAAAGTGCTCTAAAACTCAAGATTCTAGACGCACATGCACATACAAAATTTTCAATTGGATTTGAAGTTGTGATGAGCAATTCTATGGCACTTTGGAATTCCTGAGAGCCACCCAATGTCTCTGTGGACAACAGGGAATGTAGGTCAATTAAGTCTTCTTGAAAACATGGCCTGGTGGCCTTGGAACTCGTAAGTAGAAAGGCCCAGCCGCAGGCCCGCTGGTCCTTGACTGTCCTCAGACTTTGTGGTCTAAGCATCACAGCAGGTGACATTTACAGATGAAAGAACAGAAAGAAGCTATAAAATGGCACAAGAGCAGGGTAGAAACATACTCCCACGTGCACATGCCACGGATACAGCAGAGAAAAACCCAGCAGTATCTGCTGTGCTGTCACCTATCATAACAAGATTGATCTGTAGTGAAATATAAGAGAATGCAATCCAGAGGAAATAACTTCTGTTTCCTCTGAGAATGTCTGATGTTGTCAACTGCAAGCCTGCTTCCCTCTTCTGCCTGTCACAGTGCACAGCAGCCCAAATAGGCAGGGACTCCACTGGGCAGAGTCCTCCCTCCCTCACTGCCAGCAGCACACATTTATCAGGTAGTGTTTCCCGCAACTGCCCGTGACTCCTTGGTCAAGTTAAAGGAAGCAGGGTCTGGATGCCCATGGCACATCCAGGAAGGCAGGGCCACTCAATGTTGCCACAGAGGTCACGGGCCTCAGACGATGCCATGGCGTCTGTTCATTTGAAGCCACGTCGTTTTCTGCTTGTTGATTTCTAGCACAATTTGTCATCCCCATGTTTCAACTTAATGGTACAATTCTGTCTCTGAGCTTCAACCACAGAAGACCTTGTTGAAATCACGGTTTTAGATTCCGTCTGTAAGACACAGAACTGATGTGACTGTCACTGGTTGAGCATTTTATGGAGCAATATTTTCATAAGCAGAATGGCCAGAAACAAAGGTAAGAAGCAGGTACAAGAGAGTGAGCTCTTTGCCATTATTTCAGAGAATGTGTCTCCAGATGAAATGGTCCAATAAGGCCAGAGCCTTCTAAATAATTCACAAAAGCGAGTTCAGTTCCTTCCATTTGAAATCCGACTAATATCTTATAAGGGAGCTGCCGCCCACCGACACACAGAGCAGTGGGTAGCTAGCAGCTTCCATCTCTGGCAGATGTTATTAAGTCTCGCTAGCCAGTGATTTGTAGATGATTATAACTTTTGCTCTGCATATCATTGTTACTGACAGGCAAATCCCATCAATCGAATGGCATGACTGATTCAAAAAGAAGGCAAACTTGACAGAGGCAGTCTGGTAAGCCATTTTTTTCCTGCCAATTACAACCACAATGAACAATCACCATTGTATGTAGAAAAGCCAGATCTGATATCAGCCTCTCCTCTCTTCTCCCCATTCTTCAGGAATCTCTACACACAGGTTCCAGAAAGACTTTCCAAACTCAAATGTTTTGTGTTTCAAGAGGAAAAATGCAATTCAGTGTGGCGTTGCTTATATTCCAGTTCACAGAAAAAAAATTATCTGCCTAGAGTGCCCCACTGACCCCCCAATTTGTCAAGGAAGAAAACTCACTGCAGCAACAGGCCCTGACAGCAGCACTTTCATTACACGAACAGTCACGACACCTTTTCAATTTTGCTCATCTCTTAGTCTCTAGCCAAATGGAACTTATTACTTATAGCTTGTTGGGATTTATGAATTATTTATAAAAGTAAGTCTGTGACTCCAGACTCTTAGAAGACAATATAACAGTACCCTCATTGTTATCCACAACTGCACCTCTATCAGAGAAAGCAGATATTCTCCATAACACATGCTGCATGTTTGGGGTGAAATAACAGTTGTGAAAATACCAAGCCTGTAAGATTGTTTGGAAGCTATTTATGGAATGCCTGGATGTATTTTTAAACCAGTCTCTTTTATTCTAAGCCAGCCTTAAATTCCAGAAAGACACAGCAGATGTGTGCTACCAACGTATTTCCCAGCTTGACTACAAACAGTGATGCCCTGCTACTTTTCCCGGTAGCATCAAGCTGTGATGAAAAGCCAATTCCCCCTTAACGTGTATCCAGAAGGTTTGAGGAGGCTATGACCCATGAGTCTCCTGCTGCACCCCAGAGCACAATGGCTCTGCATCCTAAGTGGGAACTAAAACATGGGCCAATGTGGGTTAGGATTTCATCTCCAGCTCCCCACAGCACATAACCTTGCCTAGTAAAACAGACCACACTACACACACTCACCTGGTCCTATCTCAGTCACAGAGCCAGCTGGTGAGGTTGAAAGACATGAAGTGGCCAGCCAGCCGTGGCCTTGACCACACCTCTACAACAATGGCATGATTATTTGGCAAAGAGATCTGCACTGGTACCGGTATAAGGAGCAGCAGCTGACACTGATGCAGGAGCCCCGAGGAACAGGGGCTCCTTTCCCCAGACTCCCCTACAGAGTCTTGGTCCTCACCAGGCCCACGGCATCCCTCCCTCCTTCCAGATCCCAGCCACAGACCCCTCTCCAAGCGTCCCTGCCCAGTTGTCCAGTCCACATCCTACCCCCAAGCATGGTTCAGAGGAAGAAGCAGAGGCCAGAGAGCAGAGGCCCAGGGAGGCTGATGGCACTTTAAGCCACTGTCCTCATGGTGTCCCCGAAGGTCCACATGACATGTCCATGGAGAATGGGATCCCCATAACCCTCTGCATATAGACCCTACCGATATTTCTCAAAGAGCACAGCCAATGAAAAAGTAGACAGGAGACAGTGAACTTACCTTGCTGAAAAACATCTGCCAAGAGAGAAGAAACATAGGGGAGGGGAAAGGGGAGAGAGAGAGGAGAAGAAAATATTAATAACAATGTTGAAAAGGACAATATGATGATAGCATATGCCGACTTTGCTAAGCACTCTATGCATGATATTTCCTTTAATTCAGGAGGCAGTGCTTAAGAGCTCAAGCTCCAGAACGAGTCTGCTTGCTTTTCAATCCTGGCCTCACACTTACTAACACTGTGACTTACAGTTCCCTAAACCACAAAACAGATCATAGTATTGGAAAAATTAAACAAATTATGTCACACATGTTAAGGCTTAGGCCAGTGCCAAGTACATAGTAAACATAGAAAAATAGGCAGCTAGTATTTATATTAATATTATTTTCACAACAATCTTAGAAGTTCTATTATAGTTCTCATTTTATAGATGGGGAAACTGAGGCTCCAGAAAGTTAAGTAACTTATTCAAGCCACAGAGGAACAAGCATGGTCAAATACTGTAAGAAAGGTTAAAAAAAATTAATGTATTTTTTCAACAAATATTGATAGGCTACTAAATACCCTAAATGCCAAGTACTCTGGTACCAGGAAACACATCTAGTGAAAAAAAAAAAAAAAAAAAACACCCACTAACTACCA